CTTTGTAATAATTCACAGTACTTCAAGAATTACTCCAGCCTTTAGGTTTTAGCTCCCTCTACCACATGTACATGCCAGATTACGTAATCCAACTTTGAAAATCCTCTCTGAGCTTGTTGATTTCACTTCCAGATGATTTTCAGACTCCAGCCCAACACAGAACACCAACAACCAGACCCAGATCAAGCAAACACTTATCAGCCAGAAGTACCTCTCTTTTCCTACCTTTCCCACTAAGCAGTGTCATTGGTATCATTAGTAAGTCACTTCTCATAAGTTAAGCTAGCATCTTTCTGCTTGTTTCTCTTCTCTGTCTCTCTCAGTTTCTCTTCATTCCTCATCAAATCAAAAGCCCTGATCAAAGAAAGCAAGCTCTAGCTTCTACTATCTCAATTCATCCTGTTTGGTAGTAAAACTGAAAACTACATAGGTTTCCCTTTAAAGAGCCTTGATCTTTGATCTAAAAAATTGTGGCTGAACTGATTCATCAGTATCAATGACCCATTTCAGTTTTTGTTGATTTGGAGGCGTAGAGTTAGCTCCGCTTATAACAGCTATCCTAGAAAGGAAAGTAAGACTGTCCTCAGCCATCTAACAGAGACATTAAGACTGCCAGGACCTTAATCTTCATTATAAAATAAATAAAGAACAAAAATATACTAGCAGTATCAAATGTTTCCAATCAAGCTGGCAACTTGTCCAATTCTTCTTCCTCTCATACAAATGCTGCTCTTGTGAACAGTCTTCCAGCTCAAAAGAAGCGTGTGCAGCCAGTCAAACTGGCCAATAAGAACAAATCAACCACAGGTATGATGGTTGTCACAGACATTGCAAATCAATCTGACAACTCAATCAACCAAGCTGGCAGCAAGGGTGGCCGTGAAGAAGTCATTGACCCCCTCCTGGAATCATATGGTCCAAGTACTGAAAACCCACTTGCTGAAGCCCTCAGGCTGAGTACTACTACACTCGCCCTTTAAGTGCTACACAGTCTACTTGGACTCAGTAGATTGTTACAACTAATTCCTTTTCTGATTACCTGTCTCATTTGATTGATTGTTTTTTTTTCTGATAATTTTCTGAATATCTACTTTTATACACGGTCTGCTCTACAGTCTGCTTGCTCCTGTCTCCTCTACAGTGTAACTCTGCAGTCTGCTTGGCCGTGCTGTATGCTCAGCTTCACTGTTCACTGTCTTCTTGGCTTCACTCTCTACTCTACTCTACTTTCTGATCCACTGTCTGCTCTGCTCTACTTGTGGTGTTCAAAATTGATTTTTAAACTGCATTCTACATAAAATCATAAACATTACAAAAGGTTTGAGATAAGCCCCAAATAGAGAGAAGTCTCAAGTTTCATAATGTTGATTTCTTGGGCCTGTAGGGTTTATGATTTTATGTAGAAAGTGGTTTAAAAACCAATTTTTAACACCCTAACTGTCTGCTATGGTATCTTGTTTGCTGGTGGCTCAACTTGCCTGCTGTTCTAAATATAATACACTATGTACATGTTCTGTTTGACTGCATTACATGATACAACAACACACATGTAATACATCCCTTTGGCTGTAAATTTAAGCTCCCAAGGGATGTGTTTGTGAAAATACAAGAAAAAAAAATAATGACTAATTCAGCTTACCTGAGCAAGATGCTTTGGGTTATAAAAAATGATTTGATACAAGTTGATGGTAGATAGAGCATGACTAGAGAAACACTACAAACAATACCAGTTTTGCCCCATGAAAAAATGGCAATTTGAGTGGTGGAAAATTGTTCAGTTTCCTGAGGCTTTTTTTTACAAAATGACTCAGGAGTAAAAATCAGGCTAAAATGAGCTATTTTAGCCCAAAAATAAAAATGCCTCAAACTTTCCAAAATTAATTTTTAGCTCATTTGAGGAATTTTTATTTTTTGGCTAAAATAGCTCATTTTAGCTTAATTTTGACTCCTGAGTCGTTTTGTAAAAAAATGCTCAGGAAAGTGACCTATTTTCCACCAACCAAATTGCCATTTTTTCCTGGGGCAAAATTGGTATTGTTTGTAGTGAAAGGTTGTTACAAAGTTGCTACCCTAAGAGGATTGCCAATGAAGGTCATAAGGGGTGAGAATGATGAATAGGTAAAACAGAGTTGATTTGGTAGTGAGGATAAAAAAGGCAACAAAGAGAATGGTGATAGATAATAAAAATGATGAAATGAATGAAGCAAATTGTATCAGAAAAACGCAAAAAAAGTATACAACCCTTCATTTTTTATAAGGGGACTTATAATATGTAAGGACCTTTACAAGTTGAGGAGTGTTGAAGTGCAAACTTGGGTGGATCTGTGTTCATCCATCAGGGAGATGTCTCCCACCTCTCATAAATCCGCCGTAAAGTAACCTTCAAGGAGCTGTCTTGCGCGGGTCTGGTCTATTCTTCAAGGAGGGACCCGTCAGGTGCCTCTGCCATGAACATAAATACAGGCACCCATCATGGTACTGGCGTCAAAAGCAGAAACTATTCCTGAAAACATCCAACTTCTGAGTATCTGTAAGGTGATCCAAGAAAACAGAACAGCCAAAGAAAGCAAAAATTGGTGACCTCCCAAAGCCAGAGATTCCTGCAGGGACAGAAGATTTTGCAGAGGTGGGGGTGGTATAGGCTGAAATTTGAATGACAGGGCTAGGGGGGGTTAGGGTTGGCTACATTGGAAACCCTTGCCGCCAACGGTTGCTGATGGTTGTGGTGGTGCATGTATGCATATGGTCAAAGATCAGAATTTTCATGACTTCTTTGTTGTCACAACCTTCAGATCATCCTTTACCTGCATACCTATTGTGTTTTGAAGAATGCTTGGACAGATTCACAGCATCTTCACTTGAAAATCCTGGATTTTCATTGTTTAAGTTTGAATTTTTATTTTATTTCTTCCGTCTCAAAGCCATGATGTTGTCATAGCCAGTCATCACCTTTGCCACAGCAGCCTCAATTGATGCAGATTTGCAATCCAGGTGGGTACCTCTAATCCACCCCCCAAAACCACCAAAAACAACCAACGGATAATAGCATTGTCAGCACGATAATTTGATTGATTGTGCAGTTAGGAAACAAACGAGCTTCTTGGAACGAATGAGTTTCTTGGAACGGGTAAAAAGATCATCAGGTTATTCTATCGGTTGCAAATTCTGGAGATTCCATGTAATCAGTCTAATTCTTTCCCAAATCCTGATAGGTATTCTCACTTTGAAATTGGGACCAACAGCGGTGGGCCACTACGTAGTGTAGCGGCACTTTTTTTTCATCCAAAAACCGTAGTGTTAATGTTTTTTTGCTACGCTACGCTGCGCTACAGTGCTTTTAGCAGAAAAAGCGGCCAAAAACCGCTAAAAACCGCTGTAGTGCAGCGTAGTGGGCCCTTTTTTGCGGCCCACACGCGTAGCGTTAGCGGTGTCGTGGCAGAATTCCGCTACGCTACTCTAATTGCTAACAGCAATTCCGCTGTGTTACGCTACACTAACCGCTACGGTTAGTGTAGCGGCCCACCGTTGGGACCAATAGTGTTTTTTATTGGCTTTGCATTGTCCCTTCTGTACAGTCATTGTTCCACCTCACACAATGATATGATGTCAATCTTGAACAATCTCTTATCCTGCTTCTTACCCAGTTCAATCCCATTTACCATAACTTATTTCCTATCATCCTTGTTACCTGTTGTGATCAGGAAGATCAACCCAAAGCAAATTGTATGTTCAAAGTTGACTGGGTGAGATGAATATAAGCAGTCTTGTAGTTGTCATCAATGAGTTGCAAGCCTTGTCAAGAGTGATCAATCTGAAGAGTAGAGTTGGAGGCAGTTGTTAGAATAACTCCATCCAGAAATGGCACTTGTTTGAAGCTCAGAGCTTGAAATTTTTTTCAGTATGATTTTAGATTAAAGGTCAAATTAATTTTGTTGCATCAGTGTTAATCTCCTTTGGATTGCTGAGCTACAAGAAGCCTGAAGGAGTGACAATTGATTGCTCTTGAGCTGTCAAATTCAATTTGATTCAAAGTCTTGTTCATTACTACATTGCTGAGAGAGGAAAAGAGAGTCTAATTTGCTAGTTGACAGTGATTTTTTCATTCATAAGGACAAGACAAGTAGCAAAATCCAAACCATGAAAAGAAATGCAGATGAATTGAAACTTTGAGTACAAGATTAGCATTGATAGGTTGACCTATGGTTATTTGATGTTTTCGTTATATACTGTTGGGGAGATAATGCAAGATAAACAATCCAGGTAAGGTAGTTGGTGCCCTAAAAGCAGTATGGGATTTGGGTGTTACATCGATAAAATCTGCAGTAAGAGAACAAAGATGAAAATGACTTGAATTGTTAGTTTAATGATGGGACACAGTACTCACACTTTCTGTAAGCCTTTTCCAAAAGATTGACTAACAGAACATCTGTGATAAATTGTCCGATTACCAATTCTGCCACCAGGCAATTGGCCTGGTCCAAGACTTGCAAGGCCAGTAGCTAGCTGCTGTTTGAATGCTGCAAAAACAAGGTCAATTGGACTTCGCCTGACAAAACCGCCACTGAGAAATTGGAACATCAAGCAACTGTTCAATGGCCTGCATTCAAACCATAGATCATTAAATTGCGATTAGAATCGCATAAACCTTGCTGGATGCCTCGTACGATCAAATAATTGCCTATGGATGTCTCGGTCAGGATTGATGCCAGGATAATTGGGGGTAGAGATGGGCGATTTGCATCCGGATATCCGCGCGGATGCGGATATCCGGCTGCTTTTTCCGGCCATCTAGGCATCCGCATCCGCACCTGCACCCGCTGGCGGGTATCCGTCGGCCGCAGCGGGTATCCGAGCGGGTATCCTCGGATACCCGCCCTCTAAAGGGTCGGCGACGGACCGGCTGGAAGGGTGTCCTTCCGGTCGACAAGGTACAAGTACCTCGCCGGCTGGAAGGATTTCCTTCCGGCCGGCGAGGTAGTTAGAAGAAACATTGAGGGAATTCATGAATCAGCGCCATCGGACATCTCGACATCCTCGTGGGATTGGGGAGAGGCAACAGGTTGAGGACAGATAGAAGGGTCGAGATGAAGGGTCTGCTTAGCCAAGTCGAGCGATTGAAGGACGAGTTGATGATCGTCCAAAGCCAGCTTATTAGCAGCGACAGTAGGAGAAGACAAGAAGTGGCAGAGAGATGATATATCATCAAAGATGTCGACGCCTGAGCCGAGAGCCGCGACCAATAAGTTGAGATA